AATCATAGTGGCTAGACTCATCCACTACAAGATCTCTACTAACAAACACCTTCTTACTAGTAACATTGTACACTTTGTATCCTTTTGCAACTATACTATAGCCCAACAGAACACCCAGTTCTGCCTTGCTATCTAATTTGCCTCTTTTAGCATCAGGAACATGTGCATAGCATACCGAACCAGTTATTTCCTAAGCCAGGAACTTCAATTTCTAGTTATTGTTTTAAATTCATGGTGCTTACATTTTTCTCCTCAACTGTTAGGAGTTTCTTATTCAAAATGGTTTTAAGTTTCACTAAAATTAAGTCTAAGAGGGAGGTATGGGATTGTCAGTCCAATATGGAATAAAAATGGCACTAGGTGAAATAAGACAGATCCTTTACTAACTTGTTCATATGAACTACACAAAACCCTCCTTGACTTCCATGGAAGGAGGAATAATTGGACACCTTTTCTTAGGAAATAAATTCAGCAGTCTTAAGCCATATAGGCTATCTTTCTTTCTTTCTTTTTGATAAGGAAACCTAATAGGTTATTGTATCAATATCATCATAAAAGTTACTCACTTAATCACTAGTGAACTACAAGTCAAGACCAAAGAAAAGGTTGGAAGAGAGAGAGAGAGAGAGAAAGTCTGTCTATGTGGTACATTAGCAACCTCTAATATTTTTAGTCATACACATACAGTATGGCTGAATTTGTAGGAATATATGGAGGTATACTTTTCTCATCATATATTTTATTTTATTTTTTGATAACCGAGAAATCCGTCTGTGACCCGCCCTTTGGACCAATCACAGCCTTCTAAACTCGGTGGATAATGGGCCCGCCCCTCTACCCTTCTCCACTTAAATACCGGGCTTCGCTTTGCATGGTGTGGGGCAGCAAAAATGTGAAAGCTATCAAGTTTGTTGTTATTTCCTAAGCCAGGAACTTCAATTTCTAGTTATTGTTTTAAATTCATGGTGCTTACATTTTTCTCCTCAACTGTTAGGAGTTTCTTATTCAAAATGGTTTTAAGTTTCACTAAAATTAAGTCTAAGAGGGAGGTATGGGATTGTCAGTCCAATATGGAATAAAAATGGCACTAGGTGAAATAAGACAGATCCTTTACTAACTTGTTCATATGAACTACACAAAACCCTCCTTGACTTCCATGGAAGGAGGAATAATTGGACACCTTTTCTTAGGAAATAAATTCAGCAGTCTTAAGCCATATAGGCTATCTTTCTTTCTTTCTTTTTGATAAGGAAACCTAATAGGTTATTGTATCAATATCATCATAAAAGTTACTCACTTAATCACTAGTGAACTACAAGTCAAGACCAAAGAAAAGGTTGGAAGAGAGAGAGAGAGAGAGAAAGTCTGTCTATGTGGTACATTAGCAACCTCTAATATTTTTAGTCATACACATACAGTATGGCTGAATTTGTAGGAATATATGGAGGTATACTTTTCTCATCATATATTTTATTTTATTTTTTGATAACCGAGAAATCCGTCTGTGACCCGCCCTTTGGACCAATCACAGCCTTCTAAACTCGGTGGATAATGGGCCCGCCCCTCTACCCTTCTCCACTTAAATACCGGGCTTCGCTTTGCATGGTGTGGGGCAGCAAAAATGTGAAAGCTATCAAGTTTGTTGTTATTTCCTAAGCCAGGAACTTCAATTTCTAGTTATTGTTTTAAATTCATGGTGCTTACATTTTTCTCCTCAACTGTTAGGAGTTTCTTATTCAAAATGGTTTTAAGTTTCACTAAAATTAAGTCTAAGAGGGAGGTATGGGATTGTCAGTCCAATATGGAATAAAAATGGCACTAGGTGAAATAAGACAGATCCTTTACTAACTTGTTCATATGAACTACACAAAACCCTCCTTGACTTCCATGGAAGGAGGAATAATTGGACACCTTTTCTTAGGAAATAAATTCAGCAGTCTTAAGCCATATAGGCTATCTTTCTTTCTTTCTTTTTGATAAGGAAACCTAATAGGTTATTGTATCAATATCATCATAAAAGTTACTCACTTAATCACTAGTGAACTACAAGTCAAGACCAAAGAAAAGGTTGGAAGAGAGAGAGAGAGAGAGAAAGTCTGTCTATGTGGTACATTAGCAACCTCTAATATTTTTAGTCATACACATACAGTATGGCTGAATTTGTAGGAATATATGGAGGTATACTTTTCTCATCATATATTTTATTTTATTTTTTGATAACCGAGAAATCCGTCTGTGACCCGCCCTTTGGACCAATCACAGCCTTCTAAACTCGGTGGATAATGGGCCCGCCCCTCTACCCTTCTCCACTTAAATACCGGGCTTCGCTTTGCATGGTGTGGGGCAGCAAAAATGTGAAAGCTATCAAGTTTGTTGTTATTTCCTAAGCCAGGAACTTCAATTTCTAGTTATTGTTTTAAATTCATGGTGCTTACATTTTTCTCCTCAACTGTTAGGAGTTTCTTATTCAAAATGGTTTTAAGTTTCACTAAAATTAAGTCTAAGAGGGAGGTATGGGATTGTCAGTCCAATATGGAATAAAAATGGCACTAGGTGAAATAAGACAGATCCTTTACTAACTTGTTCATATGAACTACACAAAACCCTCCTTGACTTCCATGGAAGGAGGAATAATTGGACACCTTTTCTTAGGAAATAAATTCAGCAGTCTTAAGCCATATAGGCTATCTTTCTTTCTTTCTTTTTGATAAGGAAACCTAATAGGTTATTGTATCAATATCATCATAAAAGTTACTCACTTAATCACTAGTGAACTACAAGTCAAGACCAAAGAAAAGGTTGGAAGAGAGAGAGAGAGAGAGAAAGTCTGTCTATGTGGTACATTAGCAACCTCTAATATTTTTAGTCATACACATACAGTATGGCTGAATTTGTAGGAATATATGGAGGTATACTTTTCTCATCATATATTTTATTTTATTTTTTGATAACCGAGAAATCCGTCTGTGACCCGCCCTTTGGACCAATCACAGCCTTCTAAACTCGGTGGATAATGGGCCCGCCCCTCTACCCTTCTCCACTTAAATACCGGGCTTCGCTTTGCATGGTGTGGGGCAGCAAAAATGTGAAAGCTATCAAGTTTGTTGTTATTTCCTAAGCCAGGAACTTCAATTTCTAGTTATTGTTTTAAATTCATGGTGCTTACATTTTTCTCCTCAACTGTTAGGAGTTTCTTATTCAAAATGGTTTTAAGTTTCACTAAAATTAAGTCTAAGAGGGAGGTATGGGATTGTCAGTCCAATATGGAATAAAAATGGCACTAGGTGAAATAAGACAGATCCTTTACTAACTTGTTCATATGAACTACACAAAACCCTCCTTGACTTCCATGGAAGGAGGAATAATTGGACACCTTTTCTTAGGAAATAAATTCAGCAGTCTTAAGCCATATAGGCTATCTTTCTTTCTTTCTTTTTGATAAGGAAACCTAATAGGTTATTGTATCAATATCATCATAAAAGTTACTCACTTAATCACTAGTGAACTACAAGTCAAGACCAAAGAAAAGGTTGGAAGAGAGAGAGAGAGAGAGAAAGTCTGTCTATGTGGTACATTAGCAACCTCTAATATTTTTAGTCATACACATACAGTATGGCTGAATTTGTAGGAATATATGGAGGTATACTTTTCTCATCATATATTTTATTTTATTTTTTGATAACCGAGAAATCCGTCTGTGACCCGCCCTTTGGACCAATCACAGCCTTCTAAACTCGGTGGATATGGGCCCTCCCCTCACCCTTCTCCACTTAAATACCGGGCTTCGCTTTGCATGGTGTGGGGCAGCAAAAATGTGAAAGCTATCAAGTTTGTTGTTATTTCCTAAGCCAGGAACTTCAATTTCTAGTTATTGTTTTAAATTCATGGTGCTTACATTTTTCTCCTCAACTGTTAGGAGTTTCTTATTCAAAATGGTTTTAAGTTTCACTAAAATTAAGTCTAAGAGGGAGGTATGGGAGAATGTAGGAAACAAACACTCAAGAGAGTAATTCTATCTCAGCAGCAGAACAGTTAAGAAGGAGAGAAGGATTTCCATGAGTTGTGCTACTTGTGCAAGGAGTATAGAGATGATACATATCACTTCAAGTCCACTGGATCATTGTGTTCTCACCATTTAACATATCACTGGTGTTATAAAGGAAAGTGAAGAAAACAATTATGTGTTGGTTATTACAGACAATAAACAATTGTCGTTGTGTATTTTTGGACAATATGGTATGAAAGAACTAGGATTTTGTTTAAGCATGTAAGAAGCCTTAAAAGTAGATCTTTTTAATTTCTTCTTCAGTCAACGAAAGAAGCTGGCAAAGCCCATTATGTTAGTTACCCAAAATGAAATGAAACTGAAAACCCTTGTATAACCATGTTAAGATAGACCAACATTTACATCCAATACATAGTCAATCAACTCCTCATTAAAGAATGTACCCAATATTTCACATGCGAATTCAATTGAGACCACTCTTACTGGAAATGGGTCACTTGATCATAAGGATTTATAGTTGAACAAAGAGGGAAGCCGATTCTTTTTGAGGTAAGTCATTTCATCAGAAACTAAATGTTTCAAATGTTAAGGCTAATAATAGTCACAAACATCTAGGTTCCCTTTCTAGTCTCTACTAAAACTACAGTACTGCTTGCTGGATGAAAAAAATAGGTGTTTTTCCTTCAGAGTCGAAGAGCATGGAGATCAGGGATTAGGGTAGAAGGTTAGTAGCCAGCCAAGCGATTTCTCTCTTTTCTGTGGGAGAGCATGGTTCTATGTTTACAGCACCTTATTTGCTCCCTCTTCTCCTGACCAGTATTATTATTATCATTCTATCATTATCTGATTCTTCAATTTTAGTACTACAGCTGTTTCTGTTACTTTGGTTATATTTGCTATTTTTGTTGTCAGTATTTTTCTTTTCTACAATATTTTCACCATAGCTTCTTTACTCTTGTATTTTTCAAATCTGTTATAATAATGTTCTTCTTGAGCCGAGTGTCTATTGGAATCAACCTCTCTACCCCACAAAGGTAGGGATAAGGTCTGCATACACCCCTCACCCTCCCCAAACCCCACTTGTTGGATCACACTGGCTATGTTGTTGTTTAATCAAAGTATTAACTAAGCATCTACTGTGAACTCAGTTGAATGCATCACAATTCATCGACTGAAGCAACAAAGGACTACTACCAGTTGACAGATGATAAACTCACTATTACTGTAATTTCAAAACTTAAATACCAATTAAAAGTTACTAAGCAGTTCATAATAATGATTGCTTACCTCCATAAGTTCCACTTTTGCAGCATCCACACCCTCCACATCATTAAAGCCAACCACCTGGTTACTTGGCTTTCTTTTTCTTGCAGGGCTATTGGCAGCAGAAAGCTGACGATAGAGAAGCCACATTATAGGAGTCAAAGGAATCCATAAAGATAACATAGTAATTAATAAGCTCCTAATTGACATAAGTGCTGATTGTGGGGCTGAGCCATACGCTGTTCCCTTTTCCCTCATTAGACTAAGAAGATATCCTTCATCATGATCAATCTTCCTTGTACTAAACTGCCATACAGGGGTAGAACCTTGGGCTTTTGATATTTTACTGAAGACATTCCTGCCACCTTTGTTGCTATCTATATCTTTGCTTTCCTCAGTGATGATTGTGCTTTCATCAGGAACTAAGGAATTATCGCCTGTCTGAGCATTTTTAAGACTCCACAAGTTCGTATTGTAGTAAATACGCCGCGTGCCTTCCTCAAATTGAACCTTTGATACAGATCCTCCCTGAAGGCTGGTAATCAAGTCTGAATATGGAACAACCTTTGGAGAAGGAGTTGCTGTCAATCTTAGAAACAAATAACACAAGCCCAATATCACAGAAATTGAAGTTGACAGTGCCACTCTTCTTGTGTTCTTCCTCAGAAACTTCCCAAAATCATTTAACATAGATATAACAGATACCCTTTTCAACCTTCTTGACAGTAATCTTATCCTTGGTCTCAATCTCAACGAAAACTTCCTACGACTATTATTACTTCCTGTTTTGTTCAAATGGGTTTCTATATCTCCCTTCTCATTTACCATTGACCTAACCCCAGTACTACAATGCAGTAATCTACTTTGAGATTTACAAAACCTATAATTCAACCCCAGTAAAGGAACAGAACTTGAGGTAAAACAAGAATTGGATAATGAGCAAGATTGATTCTTTAATCTCCTAAAAGGGTCAGAATTCCCAAAATGAAGCATCCGTTTCTTGTACCTAGACTGAGAAATACAGAATCTTGAGGTAAAACAAGAATTGGGTAATGAGCAAGATTGATTCTTGAAACTTCTTAAAGATTCAGAATTTCCAATATGGGGTTTCCATTTCTTGTGAGTAACTAATAATCTGCCATTTGAAACAAGAGGTAAAGATGCCATTTTTCTACAATATGCACATGAACTGTTCCATGAAACTTGGAAAGAACCTGAACCCAACACTAAAGATTAATAATATACCTGGTTTTGATACTGAAGCTGGAGACTTTTTAGGGATTTAGCATTGTAGAGCAACTTTGAGAGGGAAGATAAGAGAAGATTTTGGGGTTTTCAAAAATTATTCTGCACTGAGAGGATGAGAGGGTATAAGGTGAACCAAAATCTTGGGATCTTTTGATATTTTCAGAATTTTATTCAATATGGGAATTTTGGGTCATTTTAGTAGTTTTTCTTCTTCTTAAATTCATGCTCTTTAATGTTGTTCTTAGTATTTTAAGTAGCAAAAAATTAATTGAAAATATTTTTGATATCAGAAGAAGAAAAAATCTGCGGGGCGGACATTTTTATTTTTGTGTTATAATATAACACAAATTAGATTTTATAAAACATAGCAAATTATGCTTCTTAATTTATGTCGAATTTATGTTATTAGATGCATAGGTTCAAATTCAACCTAAAAATTTTGTGTTACAAAGTATACTTGGATTTAGAGATTTTACGTCGATAGAAATATAGGTTTGCCTTATTCGATTCATAACTCATAGGCTATGTATAGATTTGCCTTATTCGGTTCATAACTCATAGGCTATGTTTTACGAGGCATAATTTTGTTCCTAGTGAGCTTATGTTGATATAGGCATAAGTTTCATAAGTTCAGTTTTAGAATTAACAAAATTATACTTTATGAGATATAACTTATTCAACTGAATTTTTTATAAACTAGGTAAAAAAAATTTCTAAACTTATGTTAGACAAGCCAAACATTTTATAGACTTATGTCTTGCGAAATTAGGTCATAATTAGATATATTTTCACCCATGAATTTTCATTGAATGAATAGTAAGATAAAAATTAAAGATCATTTCAAAATAAAGGGTATTCATGCAGAAACTTATATTTTCAACGGAAGAGCATAAATACCAAATTTTGAGACCAATATTTTATCAGTTGTAGACAGAGTTAATTGTTTTTTCAAATACACCATTTTGGGACCGCTTCAAATAAAGTTACAAAAATTTGTGTGTGAAATTTAGAAAATTTTGGACAATCTTTATTTGAAGTGTGTTCTTGTCAAAGCCAAACATCACACTTCTTATTGAAGTTGTTTTAGCAAAGTCAAATTTTGGATATTTTTTATTGCAGTTGTGGTCTTGACATGGTCAAATTTCAGCCATATATTGACCTGCCAAATAGCTTTAGATTTCCTTGAAATTATGATCTAAGTAAGGCCAAATTTGAGATACCTTTTAGGTCAATTTATATAGATAATGTACTATATAGCCTTAATTATATTATAAAATAAAGTTAATATATTAACACTTGAATAGCAAAACTAGAGAAGAATAGATGGAATAATATGACAAGAACAAAGAAAACAGAAACAAAAATAGTAGAAGAAGAGAGATATAGGAAATATGAAGTAGTAACTTATTCTTGTTGTGTGTATTTTTTACATTATTATCAATGTCCTTTAATAAGCATTATGACTTGGAGTAGTTATAAAGCTACAGTAATTGTCACGCCCCGAGCCTACACCCAGGATGTGGCCGGTACTCGAGAACCGTTGCTTGTCCCCAAGCGAACCCTTGATCTGGCTGACTACTTAGCAGAAAACTTACTCAAGCCGATAGGAAACTTTAAATGCATAATTAAAATCAACTCAATTAAATGTCTAAAAATACTTAATAGGGTATAAGTAATAGTTTTCAAGATCTCAAAATAGAAAGGAACACACTGAGAGACTCGTCAACTCTAACTATCTATGAAGCCTCTATTACTCAAGATGGATGTCAAGACAAGCCCCACGACACCTCAAGACAACTGACTAGAAAATAAATGTGAAGTCCCCCGGAATGCAAGGAGGTTCACCTAAGCTATCTGAAGTGCAAAGTGATCTCAACGAAAAGCATGTTGATGATCTTGAACCCTGTATCTGTATCACAATAAGATGCAGGTCGAATAACATCAGTACATTGAATGTACAAGTATGTAATATAGCTGAATAAAAAATAACTAAATGAAAGGACCGCAATAGATATAGATATATACTCAACTGAATGTAAAGAAATAAAGGAGTGAAATCATTAGAACTTTACAAAAATACTTACTCATCTCAGAACTCAACATAATGAGTGATAAAATAAAAATACACTTTTAACTCTGTTTGGGAGATTCTCTAACTGACAACCATCACTATGAGCTATGTTATGATACAACGTATCGCCCATGCTGCCAGAACTATCATATACTGTGTCGGGGTATAGAACCTCTTAACTAAGTTGATCCACCAAGCAATAAGAATTCATCTAAAAGGTATGATCCTTTACCCATGTTGGCAAGACATGGTTTATGAGGATTTTGAGTTGTCTGAACTCATCCCCATATCGGTGCTCAATACTACTTCCAATAATATATATGATCATGCTCAAATGTATAAAACATACTCTTTCTCTGGTTTGAGATAATTACTCAAAGTATCCTCTTAAAAGAGGTAACTGCTCTGAAATACCCTGAACTCATAAACTCTTTTTAGAAATCAAAGTTTCTCTTTTCTCAATATAAAAATGTTACATTTGGAAATACTTAGTTCCCTTTTATTCTTTCTCAATCATGTATGAAACTCTTCTCAAAACTCATCTCTGTTTTTCGGAAAATTAGTTTAAGATCATTGGTTAAAAAGGGTTCTCAACAATAACTACATAAAAGCTCTTGAATTTTTCTCTTAAACTCACTTTAGTTTTGAATGTGCATTAAGACACATGATTAGGTTATGCAGAAATTTTCAAAGGTACATGGAGCCTATAGGAGCTACTACAGAGAAGGGGGATGTGTCCACAACTTAAAGGAACATGTCCGGATGAAACAAAGAAGGAATCGGCCCAGGCGACCCCTGGCGCACTGCTAGCGCGGGGCGCCAGGCCCCAAACTTCAAAAGTAGACTTGGGGCTGTCACGATCCAGGGGTACCCCCTAGATGTAACAAGGCACATAGAACCCCGAAAGGCTCCATGTAAGCCACTTAGCATATTACAACATAAGATAATAGAAAAGTGCGTAAATTTAAAATATTTTTTTAAATACAATCGAAGTCTCATAAAACGAAGCAGAAGTCTATTACATTTGTCTCAAACCATCTAATACTTGAAAAGAGTTAGGGACACAACCCATACACTATCTAAACATAAAGAAAGACATAAAAGAACATAGTGGTCAAATCCTCGATGGTATGAGGACTCACCAAGTCTTTGCTTGCTTGCTTCTACTAAGAACCTATCCACGAGAATGGAACTCAATATCGCCGAACCCTACATTTAATAAGAATGTAGGAAAAAGTATGTGTTAGTCCAATAATGTTCTAAATATGATGGCTAGCACAAATCATCAACATAAGTATATAAGAGGCATTAGTCCACATAAGACATATACCATAATCATAAGAGACAATAACATAAGTCATAAGTATAAGAGATATCATCATAGAACATAGGAAATAAGCATGGGAGATAACAACATAGTCACAGGCATAATCAATGCATCTAATTTAACATAACATAAGAGAAATACTTCATAAGCCACCTCAAGACAAGCTTGTGCAATGCATGCATAAGATCCCATAATCCCATAGTGAGGATGAGAGGGTATAAGGTGAACCAAAATCTTGGGATCTTTTGATATTTTCAGAATTTTATTCAATATGGGAATTTTGGGTCATTTTTAGTAGTTTTTTTTTCTTAAATTCATGCTCTTTAATTTTGTTCTTAGTATTTTAAGTAGCAAAAAAATAATTGAAAATATTTGTGATATCAGAAGAAGAAAAATTCTGTGAGGCGAAATTTTTTATTTTTGTATTATAATATAACACAGATTAGGTTTTATAAAACATAACAAATTATGCTTCTTAATTTATGTCGAATTTATGGCATTAGATGCATAGGTTCAAATTCAACCTAAAAAATATGTCTTACAGAGTATACTTAGATTTAGAGATTTTACGTAGATTGAAGTATAAGTTTGCCTTATTCGGTTCATAACTCATAGGCTATGTTTTACAAGGCATAATTTAATTCCTAGTGAGCTTATGTTGATATTGGCATAAGTTTCATAAGTTCATTTTAGAATTAACAAAGTCATATTTTATGAGATATAACTTATTCAACTGAATTTTTCTTAACTAGGTAAAAAAATAATTCTAAACTTATGTTAGACAAGGCAAACATTTTTATAAACTTATGTCTTGTGAAATTATGTCATAATTAAAGATATTTTCACCCGTGAATTTTCATTGAATGAATAACAAGATAAAAATTAAAGATCATTTCAAAATAAAGGATATTCATGCAAAAACGTATATTTTCAACAAAAGAGCATAAATATCATTTTTTGGGACAATTATTTTATCAGCCGTAGATAGAGTTAATTGTTTTTTCGAATACACCATTTTGGGACCACTTCAAACACATGATACTGAAGTTAAAAAAAATTGTGTGTGAAAGTTAGAAAATTTTGGACAATCTTTATTTGAAGTGTGTTCTTGTTTAAGCCAAACATCGCACTTCTTAATGAAGTTGTTTTAGCAAGGTCAAAATTTGAATATTTTTATTGAAGTTGTGGTCTTGACATGGTCAAATTTCAGCCATATATTGACCTGCCAAATAGCTTTAGATTTCTTTTTACTGAAATGATGATCTAATAAAGCCAAATTTTAGATACATTTTAGGTCAATTTATATTGATAATGTACTATATTGCCCTAATTATGTTATAAAATAAAGATAATATATTAAAACTTGAATAGCAAAACTAGAGAAGAGATGGAATAATATGACAAGAACAAAGAAAAGAGAAACAACAATAGTAGAAGAAGAGAGATATAGGAAATAGGAAGTAGTAACTTATTCTTTTTGTGTGTATTTTTACATTATTATCAATGTCCTTTGATAAGCATTATGACTTGGAGTAGTCATAAAGCTACAGTAATAAGGTGAGGTCATCCATGACATCTACCAAATAATCTACTCCCTCTGTTTCACAAAGAATGACCTAGTTTGACTTGGAACAGAGTTTAAGAAAATAAAGAAGACTTTTGTATCTTGTGGTCCTAAATTTAAGTTATGTCAAATATACAAAATTGCCCTTTAATCTTGTGGCCTTAAACATGCCACGTGGAAAGCTGAAATTAAAATGTTACCAAAAAAAGAAAGAGGTCATTCTTTTTTAAACAGACTAAAAAGGAACGAAGATCATTCTTTTTG